TAGGTCAAGAATCGAGAGATGCGATTTAATACCGGTAGATTAACTATGTGATTATAATACGTAGCGAAAGCTCTTTATAATCTGGTTAATTCATGCATTAATGATTGATTGTTATGTTTTACCCTTGAATATTATTTATTGGTGAACCTATACCCTAGGCCTTTTATTATTGATTATTCCCTTATTTAATTTGCTTAGTTTAATTGTTAGTTTAATTCCCACAATACAAAATAGTTACTTGAAAATTTAGATTATAGTAATTGATCAGGAATATAAGAACATTGTTTCCCTGTGGATTCGACCCTACTTCCCTATCTACTTTAGTTAGAGGACTTAGGAATTACTTTTGATTAGGTGATACAACTAGAACCTGTCAATTGACCCTACGACGACCCATTTCTAATGACGAGTAGTAGGGACAAAGTAAAGAGGAGCTTTTCAGGCGTGGTAGCATATTCATGATGGGCATGAGTGAAGAGAGAATCATGTTTAGTTAATCCTAAACCTGTTTAATCTATGTTGGTTGATTAGTAATGCACAATCAAATCTATTATTGGCGATCACTTGAATTAAAATCATATTAAGCCTAAATGAAATTATTAATTATCTTATTAGGCGTGATTTCAAGTACAAATTCCCTTTAAATCTACAAGAAAAAGGCGTGATAAAGAAATATCGTAAATCACGAATAATCGAGCAACATATGATTAATACAACAATCATCGTCATAAGAACATCATCAAAATATCGTTAATAATAAGATCTTAGGCATGATACTAAACGGATTAATAACAAATCCTAGAATGTCACTAATAACAAAATCAAAGCGTTATCCTAAACATGATACTAGAAATCATAATCAACATCCTAAATATGATACTAGGAATCAATAAAATATTGTAAACATGATTTCTACTCCAAAATCAAAGAATAATTAAGGGTGTTTGAATTACTCACTTTGAAGCCTCTACCTTCTTGCTATTAAAACAATACATACGTTTTTCAAGAAAGTTAAAATCAATAAAGTAAATAAATCAAATATGAATTGAAATATAGATTTGGGACCCAAACCCTCAAAACTATCAACCTTTCACGTCGAGGTTGAAGGCAACGTCGAGGATGATTTAGAGTATTTAAATCTCGTGAATGAGGTATTGTAATTGATTTGGGAGAATACCAAGGGCGTGTTTAGGCTAAGGCTAAGAACATTGGAATTAAAGAATTCCGGGTTAAGATGATGGGATTTTCAAGGGTAATTCTCGATGATTGTCGATGATTGTTGATGATCTATAAACGAGAAAAACGACCTCTATTTATAGAAATAAAAGAGAGTACGGTCTAGACGATTAGAAAAGATCAGAATTTGAATCGGAATTGAACTGTTTTTGACGCGTGGCGATATACCTATCACGGCGCGACATTGTTTATTGCGGCGCGATGGAACTGACGCAGCGTGTTGGTTCTGTCGTTCTGCGATGATTTTGAAGATATCAAAGTTGTACGGAGTTTGATTTCTAATAGAATTATGATTGTGACATATATTCGAATGTCTTTGAATTGATCGGAATAAGGACTATCATATGAAAAGTTTTATTTGGTTTCAAACTCTTTTGATCTTTATCTTTTCGAAAAGAATAAATTAAAACCTTCCAGTGAATTCTAGAAGCTCCTAAAGAATCCTAATGGGTTTAGGATTAGTAATATGGTATTTAGACCCTCACATGATCATTGGGTCGTAGGTAAGGTGGATCTAGGCTCGATTTGGGCTCGGTTTAGTATTTTGGCCATAACTTATTCGTTTTAAGTCGGATTTAGGCTTATAATATATTGTTGGAAAAATCTTTTTAAATCCCATCCAATTAAACAATAATTAGACCGGAAAAATGGACCAAAATAATATGGTATAGCGTTTTTATATTTTGGGCACGAAATTAATGATTTTGGGTTTAAAGTCTTGAAATATATGATTTTGGGTTAACACACTTTAAGAAAGGTTAGAGATATGGTCAAGGATTAAGAGAACTTCACGAGACTCTTCAACTCTTTACCGAACTCATTAGTCAAAGACGTGAAAGGTACTCATCACTAGGTTTGGTTTTTGGGGAGACACAGTCAAGTGTCTACAGAAGCCCACTTTGACTGATTTCGGAGAAACTTAAGTTTTGAAAACAAAAGTCATAGTAGATCAGTAGGGATGGAGAATGATCTAGAACGTTCAGCGATCCTAAATCATCCTTTTTAATGCGATACCTGTAGAAAGTGTCAATTCTACAAATAAAGGAATTAAGGGGAAAGAAACGCGGATCTGGGTTTGCTGAGCACACTTTTCTGGGTGACGTTTTGTCAAATCAAAGTTATTTTGTTTGATAACCTCCACATTCTCAGGGAGCGCTGTCGATCTAAAATGTGTCCATGCGTCTCTGAACAACAAGAGCTTTGAAAGAAATGTCCACTCGTCTTTGAACATAAGAGCTTTGAAAGGGATTATCCGCGTGTCTCTTAACAAAAGAGCTTTGAAAGAAATGTCATTTGGTAAAAGAGAGGATGAGCACAAGTAGAAAGGTAAATCCTCTAAATTGTTTTGAATTAGGGTATGTCGTCCAGCTTTTGATAGAAAACCAAATTCCCAATGTTGAATTCTTTTTTCAGTCTTTGGAAGAATAAGCTTATAGTCTTCTTTCTTAGGAAAATAGGAACTAAAATGTACTCCAAGGTAACGACCCAAACATGACTTAGAAGTCATGTTAAAGTGGCTTGCTAACTCGGTTCGTCTTGAATTTGGAATTTTCTTCGAAAAAATAATTGACGATTTGTGAAAATTAATTAATTAACCTGAAATTTTGCAAAAGTCCTCGAGTAGAGTTTTTAATCTATTGCAAGAGCTATTCGTGGCCTTACAGAAAAATAGGCTATCGTATGCAAATAAGAGAAAAGGGATATTAAAGGAACATGGGCAAATTTTAAAGCTTATTCAAGCTTTTTTTTAAGACTTTCAATAAAAAGTTTCCTTATTTAAACTTCAATGCAAAGAATAAAGGGAGACAGAGGATCACCTTGTCGTAGGCCTCTTGATGGTTTAAACCATTCAGTGGAAGTGCCATTAATCTTTAAAGAGTACAAGACTTTGGTTACACACTCAATAATCTAATTAATCCATTTTTGAGGAAAGCCAAAAGCTTTTAAACATTCCCATAAAAAAAATCTCATTCTACTCTATCATACGCCTTTTCCATATCTAATTTCAGGGCACACCATCCAGTCTTATTGTTAGACTTGTGATAAGTGCTAAGAACTTCTTGTATGATCAAAATATTATCATGGATTGAATGATCTGGGGTAAAAGCATTTTGAAGTGGGCTCACTTTTTCGTTTAAAATTGGACATAAACGATTCAGTAGAATTTTTAAAATTGCCTTATAAACCTTGTGTACAAGACTTATTAGGATAAAATGATTTGGAGTTCCCGGTAAATCTGTTTTTGGGATTAAAGTTATCGGAGTATGGTTCAAAGAGGGCAAAAGGTGACCATGGTGAAAGAAACCTTGAATAGCTAAATAAATATCTTTCTCTATAATTGGCCAATAAGATTATAAAATTTTCGCCCCAAATCCATCAAAACCTAGCGCTTTAAGAGGGTTCATATCAAAAAAAGACATTCTTAGTTTCTTCATTGATTACAGAGGCTGTAAGAGAGTTACAATCTTCTACTAAGGTTATGCATTCGATAAAAGACAGATCTAAACGCCTTGGGGTACTATGATCTAATTTGAACGAATTAATTAGAAGAGAATTTATTACCTCTTTGGTGTCTACCCAAGTATCTAGCTCATTTTAAAAATCTATATATGGTATTACAATATTTGCTATCTTTTTTTCTCATTCGATTATGAAAGAACCGAGAGTTTCTATCGCCCTGAGTTAACCAATTTTTTCGACTAATGTTCCCCCAAATTTTTTGACCAAATAGAAGGAGCTTCTCCCTTTGTCTAATCATTCTGTTTCTGTGGCTAACAAGTATTGGATTAAATGGCTTCATACGAAGACTCTTTTCGAGTTGCTTAATTTTTTCCTCATTTGCTATCAGCTTATTGTTGTTGTTTCCATATCTCTTTTTTGCCCATTCTTTTAAATATGTCTTTACCCTACACATTTTTTGTTGAATCCTATAAAACCGAGAACCTATAATAGGAGTAGGCCAAACTTTTTTCACAATAGAGTGAGATTCTTCTTCTAACGTCTACAAGTTTTGAAAGCGAAATAGCCTAGGGTCGTAGTTTCGCTCATTGAACTGTGAATCAAAGAACACAGGAGCATGATCGGACACTGTAAATGTACCATAAGAAGCTTTACAAGTTGGAAAGATAATTAAAAATTCATGACTTCATATAAGTCTATATATTCGCTTGTAAATTGTGTTGTTTCCATGAAAAACCATTCTATAAGCAAGGGATATCAATAACATTTGTTACGTTTAGAAAATGAGGAAGTCTTTTAAGTTGATGATATGCAAAAGGGCGCCCTCCTTATTTATCATAATAATTAAGCATTTCGTTAATGTCACTGATAACCATCCAAGTAATCCCAAAAGGGGTTCTTGTCATTTTCCTGTGCAGGGCCATATATGCTAGAAATAAATTGATCTTTATTTAAAGGCTTATATGTAATATGTAGATGAGCACATCTATCTTTAAGGTGAATAATTATATTTTCATCATTCCAACAAACCAAAATCCCACATGTTTGATTAACTGGTTTAATAACAAATTTGTTGTCAAAATGTAGAGCATTTAAGATTTTTTTTGCTATTAATAGAATTTGTCAAATTTTCTAAGACAAACACAACATCTGGTCTAAACTTATATTTAAGATGAACTAACTCAGCTAAAGCTAGGGACTTTTCCCTACCCTGAATGTTCTAGCTTAGGACTCTCATTTATCAAACATGGCTTTCATTAATGCGTGCACTTTAGTCACACCATATCCATAGCGAGATCATGCACTCGATTCTAAGGGGTTGACTCAACCCATTCATCATACTTCATTTTGATGCTTATTGCTATTACAATTACAACCCCATGCATTAGTTACAACATTTAAACAAGGAAAAAGTTGTAAATTATACAAATACATAAAATAGGATAATGTTTGAATATATGCAATAATTACCAACCAAGGCTCCGATGGAAGGCAAGACACGACATGTAGAAACCATTTAATGCCCAGGCCAGTTGGAACACCACCAGCCGAACAACTTCAAATTACGGCAACCACACCAAAGGATATGATATGAAGGTGGGAAAAAGCGCGGCACAACACCAACATACAAAAGGTACACAATTCATACGATTACAGTTCTAATATACTATAGCCACCAGGTACAGAATATGTAAGAATCCAAATAGTGAAAGAGTCACTAGTGTCCCGCAGCGGATGTCAAGCACTCGAATCCAGAGCGGATGGCTAAGCATTGGATTCAGCATAAAGGGAGTAACCAACACAAGCACAGGACAATATAAGAACGAGATACACCTAAATGAGAAAAGACAAACTTTATCTAGACCCAACCATATTTACCAATCAGAAAAGAAATAAAAATAGTTATTAAACAAGACCACAATTTATAAACAAAAAGAAGGGGAATTGGGGATACATCATATAATCGAAAAGAAATGGCAAGATCTTTCCTAAGAGGGTCCATAAAGTACAATAGCAATCAAGATATAGTCCATTGCCTAACAAAATCCACTCAAAGTATAATAAATGAATATAGTGCAACATAATATTAGCAAGGAAACAAAAGATTAGCAAATGCCAAGAGGTATTGCATAAAAAAACCATGAATTACAGTAGAATGGATTGATATCCAGAATGGCAAAGCAAGGTGTATATTGTTGATCTTTGTCAGCTAAAGATAAGCCAAAGATAATACACGGAGCAAAAATTATTTACATGTATAAGCGAGCAACAAATCCCAACATAGGTAAGGCCATATATAGAGGTAATAGTCCATATATAATATGAAAATGGAGGGGCAACTAATAGAAGGCAAATGAATATTAAAATTGAAATAAACAGATGAGTCATGTAATCCATGGGGAGAGCACCAAGGGTAGTACACATAATAGCATAAAATGAGCCATATGCCCTAAGCAACCGAATTATTGGACATGGAAAAGACTCTCAATAAGGAAACCCTCTTGGGTACATAAAGCATACTAATAATAAAACCCATGCAAGGAGAAGTTTCAGTGTTATAGCAAAGGTTAGAAATGTAGACAAAAGTTGTCCAATAGTAAGAATTGGCTTTAAAAAGTTTTACATGCAAAAGAAAGTCAACCCAAGGAGGTAAATATAAGCAAATTAGTTCACAATCATGGGAGCAGGGGAATTAAGGCACCATAAGAAGTGCATGATATAACATCTTCCTAGAAACCAAGCCTAAGCTTGAAAATATGAAAAGACATTATGAAGGCAATTAAGGCACCATTTGTGAATATATCTAAAAGTAATTAAATTGATGCACTAGTAATCGCCAAATTGCATAATAAAACCAACATTGATGGTTGACAAAATAGTAACTATTCACACAACATGACTTCCGGATAATAATCCAAAATTCACAAATACCAAAATTGGACATACCCAAACAAGAAACCCGTCAAAGATTTTAAATCACACATCAAAAATACGCAAGAATCAAACTGAGATACTCAAATGAGATGCACAATCCAACATTAAAAGCAATAGCAATTCGTATGAGTAGCCTAAGCAGCAATTTCACCAAGTATAGTAGAGAGATAATAGTATGCATATAGAATAAACAATAATAATCCGAGAACAACAAATTTGGGAAAATTTTAAGTTCCAAGAATAAAAAAGAAATGCCCTTGCAGAGTGGGAAAACCCGGGGGGAGGAACTTTGTTTCATTAAGAAGAGGGGAAGAAAACTTACCTAGAAGCCGCATCCTTCTCCTGAGAAAGATTGAAGATGAAGGTCTTCAGATTCTACTAACTTCGATCTCCAAATAAAAAACAACAGTTTGAATTCTATGAAAAGTCCTGTTGATTTTGTGGCATAACAAAAAAACCTTCAATTTTAGTAGATCCATGAACGTTAATTTCTTAAATTAATGATTCGGAAACAGGTGAATTTGAAGGTGAGTCGGGTTAGCGCCAGGGGTTGTACTGTGAACCTCTGAATCGAAGTTCTAGTAGCGAGGGGTTTCGAGTTAAGCTTATGGATGACATTATCATGGAGTTAAGCTTATGGATGACATTATCATCATAAAGGATATGAACAAACGACGACGAGGACCGTCGAGAAGCAATGGAGTTTCTGAGTAAGGTGTGTTCTCAGTGAGTCGATATCAGATTAGGACATTAAGGTGGACGATTAAAGGCATAAGTTGTTTTGGATAGGGGAGGCGGCAATGAAAAGCTAGGTAATGCGTTGCGGCGGTGCTTCAGTGCTCTTGGGTGGGGGTTCTTTTTTCTCTCTTTTTTTTCTCTTTATTTCTCCAGGGTTTCCTTCGCATAAGCGTTTGGTATGTGTAGGGAGCCCCACTTTATCTATTTGATAAACACATTATGTATGTCAAATGGCACTATTGTAAATAAATATTCTTAAATTGTGTGCAAATTGATATAAAAAATATTATAATAACTGTTTGGCCACATGTGATGAAAGACATCGGAGTTAACGTTGTTAACTCGATCTTCCTCCCATCTTCTTCTTCCTCTTACCAGTTATCACCTTCTTCTTCTTCCTCCCATTTTCTTCTTTCTCTTACTACCTTCATCTTCTTCCTCCTACCCTTACCACCTTCATCTTGTTCAAGCCCCTTTAAATTCGCTAAGACCAACACCCACCTACACAAACAGATTGAACACCACCATTTTCGGTGGCTTACGAAATTCCTATGAAAACATTGTGAAATTTAGGGCATGGTTAACTCTAAAGGGTAGGGTATGTCATCTACTTCCAATTTTCCATTGCAGCATGTAATTTCACCATCGAAGCTCTTCAAATTTGTGTGATGGAGGAGAGAGAATATCAATGTTAATGGAGTATCTCAAGAATGGCGTTAACAAAAGGTTTTTGAACGATGGCGTCAAATTTGAAATTTTTTTATCCATTATGAAATAAGTAATATGATACTCCCTTTGTCCATGTCGTTTATTTTATATGATATTTTACATAACTTTAATAATCTATTTTCAAATTTTTCATCTAAGATATTATAATTAATTTGTAATTTTCATTGATCTAATATTTACTTGATAAAATCATAACATAATTTTTATTTTTTTATTTAGCATCACAAATTATCTTTTTTATTGTTTTTTAATACTTACGTGACATTTGAATTTAAACTCATAGAATTTAATTCGTTGATTTTGCTTATGTGGCAATTTCATTGGCTGAAATCTCCTATTAACCTACGTACCACTCTAAAATCTCTTAAAAAAACCTTTCATATATATTTGACTTGTATCTTTGACCATCAAAATCTTTAATTATATATAACAAAAATCGTAAAAATTTGATATTATAAAACTATATATTGAGACAAATCTAATAATATCTCACATGACTATATTTTCTATATATATTAATGTGAATTTTTGGTCAAAATTTTAAAGTTTGACTATAAATAGTCAAAACGGAACTATCAAATTGAATTTGAGGGAGTACTTAGATAAGGTGAACTTTTTTTTTTTTCTTGAAATAACGATAAGGTGAACTAATGGTAGCTTAATGTTAAAAAAATGATAAGTTTACCTTCAATGTGTCAGACTTACCCAATTTAATTTTACAAAATACTTTAATTATTTTAATTTTTAAAATATTTGTCAAGATAATTTATTGGTTTGGATTTTTTTTTAAAAAAAAAATATATTTATTTGTTTAAATGACCTTTTCCCATTTCCAAATATCTCCTCTAGATTTCTCTAAAATTAATGTGCTCCACAACATAAATTTAAGTAATATAAGAACACAATCGTACCACAGGTACCATATACAAAACCAAACAAGATTGCAGCTTTCATGTCACCTTTACAACTAATTATGTAAAAACATATAGAATATATTTGTGTAAAACATAAATTAAGTAGCTAGGTTCTAACCATGTTGATGAGGCCAAAGCATTGTTAATCAACCACCAAAGGATTCGCCAGTGGTATATTACTGTCCATTCACCCAACACCACTTTTAAAGTGCCACTTTTTAGATTATATCAAACAATTTTGTTTTCGTTCTCCAAGTATACAACATCACAATCATAGGAATAAAATGTATAGTAATTGAGTGAATTTCTTCCAAACTCTTCTTTAAGGGACTATAAATAATAGGGTGAACCATCGTCGTAGTGATCACTTTCGTGCACACAATTGTCCAAGTGCTCTTGTTATATCATCGAGTTCCCATACATTCAATATGGAGATGGAAGGTTCAAACTTAGTAATATATGCATATTTCGCCAACCTAAGTCTCTCGTAGCACACTCCTAGGGTGCATAAAGAAGGTGGGAACAACAACTTGATCAGGCGATACCTCGAAATATCATTTCTATATGGATCAATCACTAGAATACTGTCATATAATAGCCAATGCAGCTTGTTGTTCATAGTTATAGAATTGTAGGAGAAAAGAAGTAAGGTTAAGATCAAACTTCATGGGTGTGCGATGTGTGCTCCATTTACCACTCTCAAAAGAAAAATACTTGATTTTGATATGATGCTTACAAATTTAAAACCTCCTTCACCCATAACGCTACTAATGCCCTCTAAATTTCCAACACATTGCTTTTAGATTGCCTCCATCATTATTGTAGTTAATAGGTATTTCAATTTGGACATATTTTCTAGTAATTGGATTGCAAATGTAGTAATAAAGTTTCTTATTTAGACGAATATATTGAATATGATTACAATAAATCAAGAGATCAGAGTAGGAACCAACTACATTGAGCTTGTATTTGTGGTCACAAAAGGGAGAAAATCGAGGTCAAATGGGGGATTTTGGGATTGGAAAAACGGGTGATGGGATATTAGGGAGGTTTTATGATGGTTTACGATGTAAAGGGTGAAAGGAAGAACTTCGAAGAAACAAGGCCAAGGAAGATGGGTTGATAGATTATGTTGTTCCATCGCTTTGAAACACTTCGACATCGAGCCAAAAGTTTCCATGTGTAATCCCCCATATTTTCCTTAGTAAATAATAATTATATTTTTATATATACAAATATTTTATAATAATTCTATAATTGTTTGAATAATTTTTCTTTTGGAAAGATTTGACAAAAATAAAAACAAGAAAACCATAAACCCATATTACCATTTTAACTAAGTAAATTACCCCTTTATTTCTCCTCATTCACATTTTAATTAAGGAAACTTGCTCCTTATTTCCCCTCTCAAAACCTCCTATAAACTTCTACTGCTTTCCCTTGCCTTCCCCTTCACTCACGACACTCAGACAAAAAAAAAAAATTCCGCTGCTGATTTCTGAAACTAGCCTTAACGTTTGAACACGTGGCGGTAGCACTCTAATAATTCTCTTACAGGTTTTACAGGTTATACAGGTTTCACAGGTTTTTACAGGTTTTCTTTTAGAGAGAATTATTGGGGTGTTACAAAGTGGTATCAGAGCTTAGATTTGATCTAATTACCACTAAAGCCAATTAGTATGTCTTAGGTGCCTAACTAATCAATTAAGGATTTTGTTTTTAAAAGTCAAAAATGATTTTAAATTTTAACTGTGTTTGAATTAATTGTTTTAAATGTTTAACTTTGAAGCTTAAATTATTTATTTGGTGAGATTTGGGTAGAATTAGAAAGGGCATGCATGCATATTGATTATCTTGCATTTATTTAATTATTTTGCAAGCTGCTTAGTTAATAAATTGTGTGATGGTGTTCTAATTGAAATTCTTTCATGATGTGTTCGTGTTATGCTTTTCGAATGCTCGTTACTTTGGGATGACGTAGAGAAGAGATAAGTGACACAGTAATCATGTCTAAGGAGGAGAGAGACTCTAACAGTGAAGATACTCTAGAAACTATGGAAAGGATTCTAACTCTGAAGCTTGACCAATCGGAGGAAGGTTATCAGGACTTGCATGAGTTTAAAACGGCTGAGAACAAAAAGAATAAGATCAAAACTTACAAGAGAATTTTTCATGAGATGACTCTTATTTTCTCGGACGATGAAGATGACCTTGAATGGATGATTAGAGAACCTGCGGCTCCAAATGCTGGAAAGAGAACTACTAGGAATCCGAATCCGGTTTACAAGGCTATATATTGAAGATTCGGAAGATGAAAATGACCCTGATTTTGACATTAACATTTATAATGAGAAGAAAGACAAGTATTTTGATGTAGTCCCTTAAAGATTAGGCTTATTAGAATACAGCTAGTATTAGTAAGGTATTTGCTATCAATAATGGTTATTAGAACCTCATGTTATTTTGACATTGACTATTGGATTTTAATAAGTAGCTAGAGCTACGGAGTTATGGATTGAGATTAATACTTTTATTGGAGTTATAATAAGAGTGATTATTCTATTATAAGGATCCTAAGTCTGATTATATGTTTTATTCAAGACCAATATAAGTTTTGTGATTACATATAATTTTGAGGAAAAATTTCCTTGTTTATGATTAAGTTAAGTAAGAGTGGCGCGGGATGGGAATTATTTTTCTTAACTTTACTTAATCCTGCGTGTGGATTGTTCTATTATTATTTGATTTTGCTTGGGACGAAGGGGTGCAAAGACCAAAGTACCCTTTTGAACCAATTTATGTGATAAAATGTAATATTGTGATTGAATATATGCGTACGATGTTTGAATTCGGTTTAAGCTGGAGTGAATGCTTACCTCCTTTCAGGCATAAAATTAGAATGGCGAATAATGCTGCTTTAGCTGAGGCCATCCGCATGTTGGCTGAGAATTTGAATCAGAATCGAGCTGACCAACTTGATCCCCATGCTGAGATGTTCAAGAAGTTGGCTCAAGTTAGGCCACCAATTTTCAAGGGAGGTGCTGATCCAACTTTCCTGGAAAACTGGGTTCGAGAGTTTGATAAGCTGTTTGTGGCACTAAATTGTCTTGAGGGTATGAAAGTTGACCTAGCTGCTATGTACCTTAAGGATGAGGCTGATATCTGGTGGAGAGATAATGCCGAAATAATTAAGGCCAAACCAAACTTTGGGTGGGAAGTGTTTAAAACTGCATTGAGGGATAAGTTTTACCCCCCATTTTTGAAGAAATAGAAGGCTCAGGAGTTCCTTAACTTGGAGATGGGCCAAATGTCGATTTCGGAATACTATAATAAGTTTATGGGCCTTGCTAGGTTTGCCCCTGAGGTTGTCCCGACTGAAGAACTAAAGACTGAGAGGTTTGAACAAGGATTAACCAAATAGTTACAGAAAGACCTAGCTGGGAAAGTCTTTAAGACCCTAGATAAGGTATATGAGAGAGCTGCACACATGTACCATTTGAATTCTAGGGATGTGGGGAGAGTTCTAAGGTCGGAGAGAAGAGGAAGGACTTTGGGAACTCTGAAAACCAAGGTCACTTCAAGAAGTTTAAGGATGGGGGCTCATCTGAGAGGAATAATCAGAATGTTAGCAGATTTTCTAATGCTAATAATGGGGAGAGGGAGTTCAACTGCAAGAAGTGTAGGAGAAACCACCCTGGGAGAGACTGTGAGGGAAATTTGGTGACTTGTAGGTTCTGTAACAAGAGGGGGCATAAGGAGTATGAATGTTATACCAAACAGAACCAACTAGGAAATAGTGGGAATACTGGGAATACCCAACATAGGCCCAACAATTTTCATAACCAAGGAG